GGACAGGCAGGCTCCCCCTCATCGGGCTTGACCCAGGGTGGGGGATAAGGAGCTTGGGCACTTGTGCAGAGGGAGGGCTGAGCCCCTTGTCACTGCCCACAGGTTCAGAGCCTCGTGAGCCGCTGCACGTGCCCAGTTCAGTTCTCCATGGTTAAAGTGTCTGAGGGGAAGTACCGCGTGGGGGATTCCAACACCCTCATCTTCATCCGGGTAAGTCTGGGGACCAGAGTTGGGGTGTCCCCAGGATCAGCAGAATAGCGCTGCCTTTCATGGGACCTTGCCCAGGACTGAGGGCAAGGACAGGAAGTCACCATTCACCCCAACCTATCAGGACTTGGGGCTTTCTTTCTCTCCCTTGCGGAATTCCCAGAAGATAGTTGGCAAAGCTGGCAATCCTATCCCCTCCTCCTATTAGGGCAGCCAGAACCCTGCCCCCATCCGCTCCACCTTAGCCTAGTGCAGAGGGGTGTCCAGGCAGAAATAGAGTATGAAGGGTACTCCTGAATGTCCTTTGCCTCCACTCCATCCACATGCTTGGTCAGAGCAAGGGGCCTGAGAACTCCAAGTTTGTGTTCAGTGCACAGCCCAGCCCACACGGGCCCCATAGTCCAGGCTTCCCATGTCTGGCTTGGTACATCCTGCAGAGTGATCCGCAGTAGGGATCTGAGAAGTGCCTCTCACTGCCCGCCCCTCATACCCAGCCACGCCTCACGGGCAACAGATTGTACCTAGAGGCATGGCCAAGCCCTCTCCTTGATCGCAGGCCATACCCGGGGACAGAGCCAGCTCGTAGGTAGGGACAAGGAATTTCAGCTGAGGAAATGGGAAGCCTGAGAGAGACTGTGACCTGCCCCAGAGTCCCAGAGTGGAGTGGATGGCACTCCCAAGATTCCTTGACATACCCGCTACAGAGCAAAGCAGGGCCACTTTTTTTGTTTTTGTTTTGTTTTGTTTTTGAGAGAGAGAGAGAACAAGGGCGGGGTGGGGGGAGAGGGGCAGAGGGAGACTATCCCAAGCAAGCTCCGCACTTAGCGCAGAGCCCCACCGGGGGCTCAATCTTACAACCTGAGATCATGACTTGAGCCAAAATTCAGAGTCAGATGCTTAACCGACTGAGCCATCCAGGTGCCCCTGGGCCACGTTTCTGCTACAGGCATGTGCAGGTGGAAATCCCTTTCCAGTGAAGGGAGAGAAGAGAGTGCTCCGGGGCCAGGCTGCACAGTGCTTGTGAGATCCCTTGTCTAGTTGTGGGGCAACTCTCTGTCAGCCTGGCCGCCACCCTTGACAACATGTGTTATCCGATGCTAGTTGTGGAGGAGAGCCAGGCTGCACAATACACCCCCCCACGATACACCTGTGCAAGGAATACCTGCGTGCTCATGTGTACATGGATAGGAGTGCATGCTGGAAAAGTGCAGGCTGCTCCAGGAAGAGGGGACGCCCTCTATCCCGCCCCCAACCTCATCCTTGTCCCCTACAGATCCTCCGGAACCACGTGATGGTGCGCGTGGGGGGCGGCTGGGACACCCTCAGCCATTATCTGGACAAACATGACCCCTGCCGGTGCACGTCCCTCTGTGAGTCCCCTGAGAGTCTCTTCCCTGTGGCTTTGGGTCGGGAGGCCAGAAGCAGAGGTAAGAGGTAGGTCTGATCTCCAGGGGCAAGAAATATGGAGAAAGGAAGATACCAAAGAAGGTACTGGTGTCAAAAAAAAAAAAAAAGTACTGGCATGATACCCTCAGTTGTGGGAAGAAAGCGAGGCAACCACAGTGCAATACCAATCATAGCCACAAGATGGCGCCAAACACACAGACTCGCATTTGGTCAGGGTGCCTCTTGGCAGGGCTGAGGTCTGGCTCTGATGTCCACAGTGGGGGCACCGAGTATGCCTTGGAGGGGTCTTTAGTCCCCCCATAATCTCTATTAGCACCTCAAGCCACCCCAGATAAGCATGCCATCCAAGTAAAAAATGTGAACTTGCAATACAAACGCAGCTTTAAACAAGTCCCCGAGCTGGGCCCTCTGACCAGATTTTGTCCCCTGCGCCCCTATGAGGAAGTCCTGGCACCGCCACTGTAGGCCGTACTGTCTCCAATGTGGGTTGGGGCATGGGGCAGCTAGGGGAGAACAGTGGGCCCCATCAGCAGGAATTTAACCCTTTCCTCCTCTCCTCTCTCTGGGGGGCTGTGTTGGCAGCACACAAGGCGGGCAGTTTCCAGAAGCCCCCTGCCCCACCGGTGCAGCATGAGGTGAGGGTGCAGGACGGGCCCTCGCAGCCCCAGCCAGCGATGACTATCAGCCGTTCCCAGAGCCCGCTGCCCCCCGTGGACTGGAAGACATATACCTCTTCAGGCCGGAAGCTGAGGCCCCCCACCTCCTCCACCCCTAGAACCCACAGTAAATGGGGAACAGAGGCGGGAGTCCCCAGAGAGACAGCATCATTCCTGAGGTACAAGGGAGAGGGCCAGAGCAGGGTCTCTTTCTTCTCTGGGGCCCACATTCTCAGAGAGAAATATACGGGAAGCAGGTCTCCGAACGGTGCCCCTACCCCAGGTGTTCAGAACCAAAAAGGCACTCAGTACCACTGGGATCATCTAGCTTTTTCGTATGCCCTCCCATTTCACAGATGAAGAGGCTGAGGCCCATAAAGGCCCATAGAGATTTCCCAAGGATCTTCTGCCATTTCACAGTAGGACAGATACTCAAACGCCCTCTCCCCCAAGACTGGTGAGCTGAAGTTGCGGGACCTGAAGTAACCCGGGGTCCAAACCAGGCTTCTAGCTGCTACACAGGGGAATGAGGGAGAATAAACTTGAACAGTATCTGTCATAAGGAAGACTCGGGCGGGCCCAGAGGGACAGAGAGCATCTGTTTCATTCAACATGAAGTCTGGCCCCCTTGGTGTTCTGGCTGGGGAAAGTCATCCCTTCCCAGAGCCAGGGGACTGGATGAGATGATCCTGCCAGCCTCATGATTCTCCCTTTCAGGCACCAGGAGAAGTCACCCACCCCGTCTTGGAGGCAGCTGCCAGTGGGGGACAGCCCACTCAGCCCCCACTCCTCATCCCCCCATAGGGGCCGAGACCCACGGTGCACCTCCTCAGGGAAGAGGGAGGAGAGATACTCCTCCGAACATCCCAGAGGAAGGACTCCCACATCTTGGATTCATGAGGAGACAGACAGCCAGGGAGCTCACGCCAGGGCCCCCACCTCCCAGAGATTCCGAGCCCCCGAAGCCACCGCCAAAAGGACACCAGCAAGAGGACTATCTCCGCCGCCTTGTTCCTCCAGCCCAGCGAAGCCCATGGGCCTCAGGCCATCACTCAGGGGTGAGGCTGAGGGTTCTTCTTCCCAGCTCAGGGAGGCAGCAGCTGTCCGCTCTCTGTCCCCTGTTAAAGGGCCCGCCAAGATCCCTGTCTGGCTGCCCCCTGCCTGCCCCCCCACTCCAGGAAGCAGCTTTCCAGGTATTGCAGGCGGAGGTCCCATGACAGAATTGGGGAGTGGCCCCCTCCCAAGGGCTGTCCCTGGGGACCTGGCTGGGTGCAGACATGGGGACTTCTCTGCGGATGCGAGACAAGGGGACCAGAAGTTGGACATCCAGGTGACAGCAAAAGCTGGGGGACCCTGGGGCCTGGGCCCACAGGAGTGGGAGGAGCGATATCCTCCCCTGCCCCTGGGTGCAACCAAGGATCAAGCTATCTACCATAGTCTTGAGGAGGAGCTTTTGGCCAACATGAAGCTGCTAGAGGTGGGGGGTGCCTGCCCCCAGGGCACAGGGTCTGGAGTCATCCCTCGAAGTGGAGTCTACGTCCCCAGCCTAGGTGGGCAGTGGCCTGAGCCTGGGGGTCCTTATGACAAAGTCATCCAAGAACTGGCTCAGGGCCCCCCACCTCTCCTTAAAGTGGACCTGGGAGCCTGGAAGGCAGCCTCTACAGGCTCCCCTAAGCTATCTGTTACCACTGGACCAGGAAGCCCAAAAGGGAAACCGGGAGTCAGAGAGAGTGGGCCAAAGGTAAAGGCAAGCCTGAGTGCCAAGGGTACCGGGATGAAGAAGGGACCAGCTCAAGGAAGGCAGGACTGCTCAGCCCCCACTGTGTCTGCCAGCCTGGAAGCCCCCACACCTTCACCCTCAGACCCCAATTCTGACAAAACCCAGGCATGTCCAGGCAAGGCCAAGAGAACACTCCGAAAGCCCCAGAGAGTCCCATCCATCTACAAGCTGAAGCTGAGGCCCAGAATCCGGCCCCGGAGAGACCACAGGCCTGGGAAGCAGCCTTCACGAATCCCCAGGCCACTGGCCTACCTCCACCTGGGTTCAGCCAGGGCACCCTCAAGGGGCAGGCTGGTGAGAGCACTGGGCAGAAAGGGAGTGGGGGCAACCCTGGTGGATGGAGCCTCAGCAGGGAAGGAGGAGGAAGGAAAGAAGAGGGAAGAACCAGCTGCCCCACTGAAGAGCAACCCCCAGCCTTTGGAGGGCATAGGTCTCCAGCAGCTTGATCAAGCCCCACTCCCACCAGAGGATGAGTCCTGGGTCTGAGGAGGAGGCTTCCCAGCCTTGAGCTTGTGAGTCCGGGGGAGAAGGGAGGTGAAAAGGATGCCATGTATCCACTGGACTCTCAGCTGCAGGAACAGAGGGGCCTTGGCAGGGGAGAGGGTGTGGGTGGGGTCAGAAGACAAATATAGGTTCAATCTGCTTGTTGGGCAAAGGGGCAACCCCTCACTCCCACTCCCGGGGCACCGGGGCCACCCTATGTCTTCTTGCTTCCCCCCAGAACAGCTCCCCAGACTCCTGGCCTCTGGCTATGGCCACCATTTCCACAACTCTTGTAAGCTATTAAACACTTGTAGGTGTGTTTCAGAGCCCCAGACTTCTTGAGTCCCTCACTCGAGGATTGTGGTGGTGCAGGAAGGCACAGTTTCAAGCGTTTTCCCAGGTGCAGGAAGGAGTAGCTTCAGGCGTTACCTACTGGAGTGGAAGGGGATGAGGGACAGGGAGCGGGGGTGAGAGGTTTCTTCTCTTGAGGCTCCGCCAACCTTGCCAGACAGCCGCTCTCTCCTGGAAGCCGCTGGTGTGTCAGCACCAAGGACAGGGACACACACAGGCCTTCAAGGACTTCAAAGCTTTGCTCTGGATTTTGGGAACTGAGATCACTGGGAGTCAAGAGGGATGGTGGAGAGTGTTCTTATCACATCTACAGCCGCGAATGGGCCACAGCAGCTCAGCCACAAGTGGGAACAAAGAGACAGCAGCAGGAGCTGGGATTGAGTCCAGTTATGAAAGTTTTCCCGGGAGTGGCCGGGGGAGACCTTTCACTTCCCCCTCCAGTGTTTTTGCTCAGCGTGGGAGGGCTCAGAGGTTAGGTGGAGAGGTGAGTCCCAAACTCTTCTTAGTTCTCCTGGTTGACCCAGGCTCTGGGACTCAGAGCAACCTCATCGCCCTGACGGTCCTTCCACAGCAGAGCTCAGCAGCCAGGCCCTGTAGGGGAGCCCTTTCCCTCACAGGGCAGGAACTGAGCCAACACCTTGTACAGAAACAAGGGAAAACACTCCCTGATTTTTAATCTGACTTCCGATCACAGCGCAATGGGCATCACACACACTTCCAGACCCTGTGGTGGGAAACCCGGGGGGGGGGGGCGGGGAGGACAGAGACTCAGAATGGGGGTGGAGGGAATCAAAATCAAATACCTGGAGTGCAGTGGAGGGAGTGAGGGGGGCCGGTCAGGCGATACATTCTAATGGCTCCCATAAGGGGCAGCCAGAGGCCTGGGTTCCCCATGCCCACCTCAGGTGCCTCAGCTGGGGGTGACAGTGATGGGGGCAGGTGAGATGCTGCCATCCCTCACCCCATCCCCCTGGTGAACCAGGGGCAGGGATGCAGGGGCTAAAAGGGGGCAGGCCCTCTTCCTTACCCTCCCAGACACTCCAAGGTGTGGGGAAGGGGAGCCACCTCCTCTGTTTCAGAGGGAGGCTCAGAGAGGGCGGGTCACTTGCCCAAAGTCATGCAGCACAGCAGGGACAAGAACCCAGGCATACTGGACCGCCAAGGTCAGGGCAGTCACTGCAGGGCTGTGCTACACCCCACAGGTGGAGGGAGAATCAGCTGGGGAAGTGGAAGGGAGGATCAGATTCCCTCTCACATTGGATCTGGATAAATTCCCTACCCATGACCCCTCCCCCCCTCCCCGACTCTGCTCCATCACCACTCTGGGCTACCTGATTTTCTGGTCTACACACTGCAGCTGGGCTACACGGAGGCTGGGTTGACCTATCTGCCCCTCTTCTAACAACGGACCTTCCTATCCTCCCACCACACCAGGGCTCAGGACTCAGCCTCAAGGAAAACTCAGCCAGGGGCAGGGGACATGCACCATTGCTCCCACTCTCCAAGTACCCCAGTAATCCCTCAGGCCGCTCCTAGTATCTTCATGGATTTTGTTATTTCTAAATCGGTACAAAACTGACAGTGATCAGCTCCGGTGACGAGAGGTAGAAACCGGCCAGGCAGCCGGAGAAAATGGGGTGGAGTGAGTCAGGGCATAGGGCCAAACTGGTGTTGGGACAAGGGGGGCATCAGATCCTGAGGGCCTCTATATAGGGGTGGGGGTGTGGGCATATCTCCCTCAAGCACAAGGGTCCCCATAATTCTTTTAGTGGCTCTGCCCCTCCCCAGATTTATCAGAGAAATCTGAGATTCAAGGCAGGCAGGGTCTAGGGCACTCAGATTGGAGTGGGATGGGGAAATAAGAGTCTTTACTAGCGCAACCTAACCGCTCTCCCCCAACCCCGGGACACCATCTTGCCCACCACCAGCCCCCCAAACCCAACATCCCCCAATCTTGCAGACCACCCAACGCAGGAGGGAATAGAGGGCTGGAACCTGGCATCGTGGAAATAAATTTATCCTTTGGGGGATTCCCTCTCCACGCTCCCGTCGAGGAAAAAAAAAAAGTTTTAACCCAGGGGGTGATCTGGCTTTGGGGTCAGGAAGGGGATGAGGGGCACCCGGCAGGGATGGACCATCGAGTTAAGGCTGGAAGGTAAGTTGTTGTGTCTCTGGGGGCTGCTGGGCGGGGAGATCTCCCTGGAACGGGGAGAGCTCAGCCTTTCTCCTCCTGACTGACCTGGGACCTCAACCCTAGGACCCCGATTACGGTCCTTGGGCCACCCGCATCTCTCTGCCCTGTGCCGGTGGTGCTGACGGTCCAAAGGCTGGCCTCACAGAGAAGCTGCCAGGATCTGCGACAAGGGGATGAACGAAATGAGAGCCCTGTGAACGGAGCTGGGGGCAGGAGGGTGGATAAGACAGCTAAGGACCAACAGACGCTTGGGATGACAGACACGGGGAAAGAAGACGCAGGGCAATGACAGACACACTCTCTGGAGTAGACGGGTGGGGGCCCCGGCCAAGGCAGCACCTCCCCACCCCCACGCCCCGCGCTCACCCTCGCGATCCCAAAAGGCCAAGGCGCCCCTTGGGGCCCGCCCGGGCACGGCGCTAGCTACCGCACTAAAGGCGGCGGGCCCAGGAAGACGGACGCGGAGAGGGGCTGGGCCGGGCAGTCGCAGGAGGCTCCCTCTCGTCCTCCGCCCCTCCCCGCGAGGCGCGCGGCTGCGGGGGCGGGCCAGGCCGGGCGCGTCAGGGTCCTTCCCCCCGCCCCGCCCGCGCCCCCCGCCGCAGCCCCGCAGTCCCCGTCACATGATGGCGCAGCGGTTGCGGCGCAGCGCGCCCTGGAAGCGCAGGGCGGCGTGCACGTGCTTGCAGCGGGCGCAGCCGACGCTCTTGAGCAGCTCGCTGAAGAGCAGCAGGATGTGCCAGTTGTACTTGGCCGAGCACTCCACGTAGCCGCACTTCCAGGTCTTGCGCACCAGGTGTGACACGTTCCAGCGCGGGATCACGCGCCCGCGCTGCAGGTCCCGCTTGTTGCCCACGATGATGATGGGCGTCTCTGAGGTGCCGATCACCCTGTGGGGTGGCGGGGACTCTCAGAACTCCGCAGGTCGGTCTCACAACCCCTGGACTTCAAGGGCGGGCGGTGCCTGCCTGGTCAGTACTGCTACCACCATACCTCTGTTCCAGGCGCAGCGCTCAGCGCTCGGGGTGCCTTACATGCTCTAATCAAAACTGATTTAAAAGGTGGGTACAACTGTTATCCCCATCTTACAGATGAGGAACCTGAGGCGTATCTGTTAACTGGCTTAAAGTGATACAGGTGAGTGGCCCTGGCAGTTTTTTTCCCAGAGCCTCTGCTCTTAACCACTGCATTAGACTAGCCAGCCACCCCATGGTAAGAATCCCAAAGTGTGTTATTAGAAATGGGAACAGTAAAATGTGTATGTTTGAGGGGCGCCTGGGTGGCTCAGTCGGTTAAGCGTCTGCCTTCGGCTCAGGTCATGATCCCAGGGTCCTGGGATCGAGCCCCACGTTGGGCCCCTGCTTCATGGGGAGTCTGCTTCTCCCTCTGCCACTCCTCCCACTCGTTCTCTCAACCTCTCTCTCTCCCCCTGACAAATAAATAAAATCTTTAAAAAAAAAAATGTGTATGTTTGAATGTGTGTGCCGGAACTAGAGGGTACTTCATCAATGTCCCACCCTCCCCGCCCTTGCACCGTTTCCAGGGCAGTGGTTAGCACTGGGGCACCCACTGAGGTGGTAATGGACTATATCCTGGCCCCTCACCTCGTCTCTAGGATCTGCTGGCGGATGGTCTTGACGTACTCAAAGCTGTCAAAGCAGCAGATGTCGTAGACCAGGATGTAGGCGTGGACGCTCCGGAGTCCTCTGCAACAGGCGTCTGCCCACTCCTGCAACATCCCCAGCCAGTGCCAAGGTCAGAGCAACCCTGAGGGCACCCCTCGCCCCCAGCCACCTCCAGCTATAGACTGACGGCATTCCCACCTGCCACTGCACCCCAAGCCTCCCACACCCACCCATCCCCAGGAGGCCTGGTCCAGAGCAGAATAGAGGAGCTCGGTGCAGCGGCTTCCCCTCCTCCAAGCCAGGATAGGGCAGGTCACGCTGCCTGACCTCCAGAGCCGTGGCACTCACTGTCCTGTGCACATCTGGAGCTGAGATCTGCCTTGTCTCATTTTATCGCCCAACCCATTCATGCATTCATCCATATGCTTGGTCCTTTGTTCAAGTACAGGTATTAAGTGCCTGCCTCTAAGAGCCAAGCCCTCTGAACTAGTTGTTGGATCTGTTGAAATCCTCCGTCTTCCAGTTTAGCCTTGTCCATTGTCTCTCTGCACACAGGGAGGCGTATCTGTGGAATCGAGCCCCAGAAATGGCAGGGCTAGGTCAAAGGATGAATGCAGCTGGATTTAGAAGGGGAGCTTTCCCTCCCCTTCTAGGAAGTTGCATATTTTGTGTTGTTGCGAGAGCACCGTATGTGATGAGTGCATGTTTCCTTAAAGCCTTGCCAACAGAGCGTATTGTCCAACTTTGGGGGTTCTGACAGTCCTATAGATGAGATGTGATATTCTCGGTGGAGTTTTGGTTTGGCCACTCCTGCTACACCCCCAGCCAGTGCCAAGGTCAGAGCAACCCTGAGGGCACCCCTCGCCCCCAGCCACCTCCTCCTCCAGGGAGCCTTCCTGCAAGCAGGGGACTACTCCCTTCATTTCCTGTGTGCTAAGAACACTCTGATTCTACCTTATCCCAGTTCCCTCGTTCTGTTGTGAGTTCCTGCGAGGGCCAGAGCCAGGCCTTCCTTGTTTTTTGTGTTGGCTCTTAGCAGGCTCTTTAATTGTACTACCTAGGCTGGTGAGCTCTCTGTGGCCCTGAACCCCACCTGTTCCATGGCGGGATCCATGCAACTCCGGCCTATAGCACTGCCCTTAGATTGCTCCCTGGAATTGCCCCTTCGGTTTGTTCCACACTGCCCTCAGGGTTGAGAAGGAGAAAGTCCCGAGGAGAAAAAGACTGAGACTGGCTGCACAGTGGGGGCTGACTTAGACCAGGGCCCAAGGGCAGCGCCGGGGAGATAGAGCTTCCTGAATGCTTATGGCGAATTCTCGAGGAGGGGCAGCCGCTCCAGAGGAACAAGCCCCCTGGCAAGGCTGAGTGTACTGGAGAGAAGGTTCCCTAAGAGATGAATTAGCTGATTAACTTTCCAGCAGATGGCACATGCAAGAGCAGTTAAAGGCAGCCAGTGTGTGGAAAGAAGGGGGTCTCTGAAGCTGGGGGAGGGCGAGGCCTCCAAGGACACAGGGAACCAGGGTCTTCTCCCTTGGGGGCCCAGGCAAGCAGGAGGGTGTGCCGGCCTGTGCCCGCCGGCTTCTGAGCTGCCTTGAGGCAGGTGCCAGGCTTGGAGGGCTGTGCCTGGGCTCTCTACCTCAGAGCAGGAGCGCAAGAGGAAAGACTCCGGTGTGGTGGAGAGTTCCGTCTGGCTCCAGAAAAGCTCCCGACTGAAAGGCTGCAGTGGATTTCCCCTGGGAGATGATGTGGCATCTTTTCTTTGTGCTCAGTTGTAACTTTGCTGCAGGGGGAAGATGCCGGGGACAAATCTGAAGCCGTCGGGAACCAGGGGCTGGCTTCTCGGGTCAGGGAAGCAGGGAAGACTGTACTCTGCTGGACGAGGTGCCCTCTGGGAGCCTGGGTGCCCCCCCCCAGGTGCACGGGGTTCCTCCCCCCACCCCCACAAGGAATGGAGATCAGCAGGAAGTGGGAGCGATGGGGAAACAGGCACAGAGGCTCCCAGCTTCTTCCAGCTCTCTGCTGGGGAGACGGGACAGCTGCCGGGTGACCGCCCCACCTCTCCCCCCACAGGCTGCCTCCTCCAGGGGGCCTCCAGGCTGCCTTCCTTCCTGCTCTCTGGGGGCTCCTAAGATGGGGAGGAGGAAGGCTGCTGGTTGTCTGGGTTGTGCCTTCACCCCTGATTGAAGGGAGGGAGCAGGTAAGCTCAGCTTTCCTTCCAGCTGGCTCTGTGCAGGGTTCCAGACTGTAAGCCACCATCTTGGGGCTGTGTCAAGGCAGAGAAGGAGCAGTGGATACTGAGTCCAGTTCTAAGGACCCAGGAGCTGAGGGAGGCTCGGCCACCTAGATGCTAACCCTGGATTTGTTGCTCGTTTCTCTAACCCCAGCTTCCTCCTCTGACAGGAAAGGGGCTGTAGGGGGAAGAGCGGAGGCTCAGACCACTCTCCTGGGCTGCCTCTCAGCTGGCCTTGAGAAAGCGTGTATTTCTCTTCGGACAGTGGCCGTGAGAGTCTTAGCTTTTATATTTGATCTTTGGCCATGCAGGCTCCTTTCTCAGTATTCCTCTGCTCATAGTCCCTTTCCTGTGCTCCAGGATATCCAGGAGAGTCTAAAACTCAGGATCAATCAGGAAGAAAAAGGGCAACAACTCAAAAGAAAAGATGGACAAAGTCATTAATAGTTGTGAGAAAAAGAAACGCAAAAGCCCTTAAGCCTATGAAAAGATGCTCAGCTTCAGTCATCATCAGAGATACAAACCAAAACTCCACCGAGAATATCACATCTCATCTATAGGACTGTCAGAACCCCCAAAGTTGGACAATACGCTCTGATGGCAAGGCTTTAGGGAAACATGCACTCATCACATACGGTGCTCTCTCAACAACACAAAATATGCAACTTCCTAGAAGGGGAGGGAAACCTCCCCTTCTAAATCCAGCTGCATTCATCCTTTGACCTAGCCCTGCCATTTCTGGGGCTCGATTCCACAGATACGCCTCCCTGTGTGCAGAGAGACAATGGACAAGGCTATCGGTGTGGGAGATGGGAAGCAACCCACTTGTCTAACAAAAGGGGACTCCATGGTCCATCTCTCCGGGGGGGGTCAGTGCCGCCATGCTACCCACATTCAGATACTAACATTCGGGGAAGATCTCCAGGTTATAATGTAAGGCAAAAAGCCCAGGTGGAGAACAATTTTCTTTTTCCCGTAAGAAAGGGAATGGAATAAGAACACATTTTCTTATTTGTCTAAAGAAACTGGAAGTGTAAATAAAAAACCAGTGAGGATGGCCATCAAGAGGGGGTGAGAATCAGGGTGAAGAGGGCAGGGCGGGGCTGGGATTTCTCTGGGTGTATCTTTTTACAGTTGGGATTTCTCTGGGTCTTTCTTTCTTTCTTTCTTTCTTTCTTTCTTTCTTTCGTTCTTTCTTTCTTTTTTTTTTTTACAAAGCTCAGACTTTTAAACTGTGTCTTACGGATTCCAAAACTGAAATTAAATTAAAATTTAATCTACAACAAAATGTGAAAAAGTAAGCAAGGCTCAGTGAGCAAGACTGGAATGAGGTCTGCGGATCCACTTGAGCACTGTTGATGTCCCCTGCGGAGGAGAAGCACAAGGCCCTGACCCCTGATACTCGGCCCCGACCTCATGGTTTCCAAGGGGCAGATGTGTGGGTCAGGCTTTTGTCTTTGGTGTGGATTGCCCACACCTGGGACGGGGCTGCCAAGTGTCCCTGGACTTGGGCCACGGTTCTCCTGCCCAGAGTTGCCGAGATGGTACTGAGCCTAAGCCCCTGCCCCAGAGATGGCTGGCTTTGTGGTCACAATCAGCCAAGCCGTGGCCCCTGCCTGTCCTTCCAGAGAAACCCATGAATGCGCTCTGGTCAGGGGCTTCCTTAGGTGAGCAAATGTGTCTTAGAGTTGAGCCCCCACTTGCAGCCTCTCCCCTGCCAAGCCAGAGGCAGAGAGATTGAGGGAAGGAGAACTTGGTGGTTCCTGCAGGCTGGGGAAAGGAACACTATCAGCCAGGGCACTGGGGGCACCAGAACCCAACTCCTGCAGGAAGGCTGCCCCATGCACCAGTCCGGAGGTCAAGGGGCAAAGCATCACTTAAAGAAAGGCCATTGGATAAAAGACTGGTTGGGGCCTCCCGTCCTGGAGAGCCCACCTTTCCCAGGCCCTGGCTTTTTCTTCTGCTGTCCCTTCTACAGACGCCGTGGGTCTGAGAGCCCAGAATCCTGGCAGGCATCTAGTGTTCCTGCCCTTCTTTCCACTGCCCCTTCCCTGCCCAGTCCCACTTAGCGGACACAAGGCCACCAAGCACACACTTACTGTCCTATGGAAGCACAGCCTGCTTGTCTTCCCTGGACTCTGAGTTAGATGCGTGGTTCCTGGAGAGCGCAGCGCACATCTGTTTTGCGCGCCGTTCTACCCTGGTGCCCAGCCCACCACACATTACATGCTCTTGACCTACGGCGCACAGATGATGGCTCTGAGCAGGGTGGCCCAGGGTGCGGCACGGAGCCCTCGGAGCCAGAGGATGGGGGACAGGGCCAGAGCCCAGAAAAGGTGGGAGTCCAGCTTCTCTGCTCCCCCTCCCAGCCCCCGCCCCCCGACTCCCTGGCTGGCCGATCCAGTGGGCCCCGTACCTGCAGCGTGTTGACCGGGAAGGTGCTGATGGGTGGGAAGTCGAGGATCTGGAGGTCGTGCACGTGGCCATTCATGACGACGGCAGGCAGGTAGAGGCGGCGGGCAGTGGTGGGCACACAGGCCTCGCTGAACTCGTTGTACAGGAACTGGCGCACGATGGCACTCTTGCCCACGCCTCGCGCCCCCAGCACGGCCACCCGGTAGGTGGAGACCATGCCTCCCGCCCCGCTCCGCCACCGCGTCCTCGCCGCTGCCTGGGGCTCCCCCGGGCTGCATATTCCAGGGGCTGGGGGCTCAGCCACCGTCAGGACCCACCATTGCTGCCCCTGCTTGCCCTGGGCCCTCTGCGGCCTCCACCTGGACTGTGGGGACAAGAGGTGGGCTTGGTAGGCCCGCGTTTCCCTGGATCTGTCCTGTACTTGCCCGCCTCGGGGACTGGGCTGCAGCTGCTACTGCCCCTCTGCATGCCTTCCGTTTCCCAGAACGCCTAGCTGCATCTCAAGCCTCTCCATCCTCCCTTCTCCGTCCACCCCCCCCCCCGCCCCCGCACCACCCGCCCACCGGTGGGAATCACTCTTTCCTATATTATGACTTCTTGGCCAGGTCTGACCTCCCCAAGCTCCCCAAGCTCCCCAAGCTTCCCCACAGAGCCTGGGGATGGGGGGGAAGCCGAGTCCAGTGTGTCTCAATGGAGGTGCTCCCAGCATTTTGTGGAGAGAGTTCTTTATTGGGCAGGCCGTCTTACAGCCCTGCTGCTAGAAGGTACAAGCCAGCAGCCAGCTCCAGTCACCATGATGACCAAAAACATCCCCTACTTCCAAATGCCCCCTGTGAAGAACCCTGGACCAGAGCCTGCCACTCGTAGAGTACTTCATGTTAGCACACGCACATGGTGACCCATCGTCAGGACGGTGTCCCTCAGGGATAGTAGGTGTTCCCACTTTAGCGAAGACTCAAGAGGGGGCAAGAAGTGGGCCCAAGGGCACATGGCAAGCTACAGCAACTACCCAACCCCCCACAACGTTGCAGTACCTCCCACCTCCAAGTTCAGCGATTCTAGCTGGTGCATGCCTACAGACCAAGGTCTCATTCTCTGGCATCCCCCGCGAGCTCAGAGGGCCTGGCACACAGCAGGTGCCCAGGAAAGGGCTGCTACAGGCTTGCACCTTGCTCTGGTTTCGTTCACTCCTTGCTTGTCAGTTTTGGTGACTTTAGAGCTTAGGTATAAAACCCCAGCTATGACGTTTCCTAGCTGTGGTCCGAGAGCACATCACCGGCCCCATCTGAGCTACGCTCTGCACATATATAAAGTGGGGCTAATAGCCCCTATTTCTGAGATAATCCAAGTCAACCTCCTAACCAGCTGCCTTCTCCTGATGGGGATGGTGACCAGGGAGGCTGGTATAAGCCTGAGACCGCCTGTCCAGGGACTGTTCGCAGGAGGTGACACCAGTGCCTGCTATGTGGGCCCAGGGCAGATGGGTGTCAGTCTGGGGCAGGACTCGTGTCACCCACAGGGCCATGCTTTTCAGCATGTGTGCGTGTCTCCTCTGTGGATGCGTGTTCTCTCCATATCTGCCCAGTTCACAGCTGAATGGCCCTCAGTCTGGCCTGGCTCACAAAATCCAGTCCACTGGGTATGTGTACATACAGCATAGTAAAACATAGGGCAGGATTTGGGGTGAGACCCACCACGGTCTGACTCCCAGCTCTGCCAACTAAAGTGTGTCCTTGGGCAAGAAACTTTGTTGGGTGTTGTGATGCCATGAAAGCAAGGTCATGAAAAGTAAAGCCCAGTGCCCACAACAGTAGGTGTGCAATCAACAGGGGCCACTGTTAGTTAGGTACAGGGATCCTTCATCCATCTGAGGTTTTCTAAAATCTCAGTGGGACTCCTAGCAATCCCAGGAAGGGTCACTAACCACTGTTGCTCACGTACATGTAGTGTGGTGGGGGTGTGTATATGAGAGAGAGAGAGAGAGAGACTCTTCTCCCTGTTTTATTGAAAGTAAAACTGAAACCCCAAACCAGAGACTCAGGGAAGTGTAGACCACACAGCCAGCTGAGCTATCAACTGAGACTAGGACCCTGATCTCCTTTCTGCCCCATGTGGTGTCCTTTCCCCAACAGGTGTTTACCTACTTCCCTGGGCTTCCCACTGGGGTAAGGACCGTCCCTCCTCCCCATAAATCCCTCCAGGCCCTGGGCCCCTCAGGCCTCCCTGGACACTGTCAGCTTGGCAGAGAGCCTCAGCTGGGTTAATTACATAACCAGCACAAGCAGGTGGGGAGGGGGGCACCCTGGGGGAGGAAGAGAGGTCAAGGAATGCAAGAAGAGTCCCCTACCTCTCTCTGGGTGTGGCCACTTAGAGGTATCTAGGATGTGTCCTACCTGCAGATTCTCCTGGACGCCACACTCCCTTCGCAGAAATCAACCCTTTCTGGAGAAAAGCTGCGAAATAAACGGGGATAGCGCTGGAGCCAGGGAGGAGATGCAAGAGAGGCCAATAGGCTGGGGCCAGCCTCCTGGAACTCACCAGGCCCAACTGTGGCCCTGTCCCTGACTCAGGAGTGATCGGTGCCCCCTCCCTCTTCTCAGGCAGGGGTCCTGGGTCTAAGTGCTTATTAACCCACCGTCCCTAGCTGGGTGGGGACTGAAGGGGGCTGTCCCGAGAATCAGGGCCCAGCCCCCTGAGCGCTCCCTCCCCGAGGCCTGCGCTCTGCAGTGAGTCTGCAGACAGCGCCCCGGCAAAAGACCGGGGACACACACTGGGGCCAAAGCCTGCTTCTTGTCCCCTCCGCTCGACCTGGACACACGAGTCCTGCCCCAGACTGACGGGCCTGGCTTTGCGGTCCCATGGGCCGAGTCACATGTCTGCCCGCTGTTTGTCCCCACACATTCGTGTGGGAGTGGGCGGGTGGGGGCGTCGGAGGCTGCTGGGCTCCCCATGACCTGATTGGTGGGAGTCTGGGGGGGATGCCGGAGCCCTGCCTGCTCTCCGCCTCCAGCACCTTGCAGGCACCCCCCCAAGCTCCCGCTCTCACGTGGCCGCCCCGCGCCGCTTCCCCGCCATCCCGCTGGCCCCCTCCGCCCTCCTCGCCCCGGCCCCCAGGCCCCGCCGCCCCGCTCCCCGCCCGCCGCCCCCACCCCCTGGCCCTGCCCCGCCCGCCTCCCCTCCTCCCGCCGCTTACCCGGGGCCGTCGTAGCTGCCCCCGGCCCTGGCCGGCCGGCCGGCGAGGCTGCGCTCCCCCCGGGCTCCGGCGCTGCCCCTCGGCTCCCCGGCCCGGGGGGAGAGGGGTGGGGGGCGCCCCCGGCTGCCCAGTCGGCGCGGGCTCAGGGGTGGGCGCGGAGGGCAGGTGCGGGCGCCGAGGGGCAGGAAACCTCCAGCCCAGCTCTCCCTCCGGAGCGCGCCGCCCGCTTGCGCCGGCTGGAGGGAGGCGGAGGGGAGCGCGAGGCCGGGCTGGGGGGGCGGGGGGGGGGGTCGGGCTGGCGTTCCGCTGGGTCCCTGAGCCTGACAGATTCGCCCGCGCGGCCCTGGGAGAATTCTTCTTGAACCCCGAGCCTGGATTTGCAGCCCCTCCCGACTCAGCCTGCCAGATTTTTAGCTACCCCCCCGCCCCGGAGGGGTGGGAGGAAGGCACGGGAGAGGCCTTAAAGCCTTTTGCTTCGCTCCATTCCTTCCCCTTCCACCCCGCCGCCCACCACGTCCACCCCAGCTTCCCTCCCTAGATCTCCCTCGGACTCTTCCAGGCCAGTGCGCTGCAGGGCGGGCGCACCTGTGTGCCCCGCTCTCCGTGCTGGCGACAGCGTCCCCCCCCCCCCCCGCCCCCCGCCGGAGGACAGAGCGCAGGGTGGTCCCTCTCGCCCTTCGCGGCAGCGGAGTGCAAGAAGGGCGGGCCAGGCTAGCCGCAAAGCACAGCTTATCTCCTGTCAATGAATGACCTCCACTCCCCTAAACCGACTGCTCCCCTCTCTTCTCCAGACCGGGAGATAATAGCATTTGCCAGAGGTGCAGGCACAATCAGCAATATATTTATTCTCAAACCAGCGGCGACGGCGGCGTTCACCATGGATTGCTAGCATTTAGCGAGTGTGTACCCTGTGCCGCACACCGCGCTCCCGGCTTTGCCCGCGTCCTCAAATTCAATCCTCGCAATTCTAGGAGGTTGATTTTACAGATGAGATAGCCGAGGCTGAGAGGGGCCGAGTAACTTGTCCTACTGAAAGGCCAAATTTGGAATACAAAGATGGGGATCCCTACTTGGGCAGCCCTCCCAGCCCAAGGGGCAGCAGCAGACCCAGCAGCACTAATTTTGTGCTGCGTGAAAAGCCAAGGTTCTGGAGGAGGGCAGAAGGAGGGGACCAACTAGTTAGGGGAGTCCGGAGGCTCAGAGGAGTCAACTTTGAAGGTTGTGGGAGAGGAGAGCTACAGGTGAGAGAAGGTGGGAGTGGGTGCAGAGCTTTGCAAAGGGAGTCCAGGAAGCGGAGAGCCCAGAGGGCTGGGAGGCCAAGAGGGGGGTTGAGGAGAGGTCTCAAGGGTGGTGATTGCTCAGACCTGGCCCTGTGCCCGGCAGGAAGGCCGGGAAGGGTCCTGAAGCAAGGCAGCGACCTGGCCAGAGTTGCATTTTAGTTGCCTGTGGGCAGGGGGAAGGCAGGGGAAGCTCAGAGCGCTCTCCCATGCTCTACCCCTGGGACCCAGCATTCCCCAACACGGCTTTCTAGACTTTCTATTACTCGTGGTCTCCGGATTCCTCACAGAGCCAGTTTCCTCCTCCCTTTGGGCTCTGCATTTTGGGCATGTTCCCAATTGCTCCTCCTCCCTCTCCCATCCAGACAGAAAGCGTAGTGGTTATGAGCCTGGGCCTCAGAATCAGACAGCTCTGGATTTAAATCCTGGCCGTCCTGCTTATTACGTGACTGTGACTGAAGGCACGGAACTTGAACTCTCCTAACTCTATTGCCTTATTTGTAAAGTGGAGATGTGATCAGTCATCCTCAGGGCATAAAGGAGCTACGGGTGTACAGAGTTCTTAACCGCAGTGCCTGCCCTGTAGGAAGTCTCAACGTATGGTCTTTATTTTTTGGTGCCTTTTTAAAAGACATATAGCCATTCATATGGGAGGTTGGACACCACCTTGAGAAAGCATTTCCATTTATTCTAGGTGGGCTCCTAGGGCATTGGGGTGGGGTATGACAAGGACCAGGGAAACAGCTAGAAACAAATACAGGGCTGAGAAGGATATGGCTTCCTCCCAGAAATATTCCTCCTGCAAGATTTTATGGACCCTTGTGTGGTCACAACAGGGTCACCGAGAGCTTTTCTTAACTTGACTAATTGTCCAGGGCACTGTCCATCCTCCATTGTATCTCAAAATCATTAATGCTTACTCTGCACCCAAGGATCTCAGACTTTGTCACCCCCCTGGCCATCACCCTCCCTTCTGGTTCTACCTCAGCCCAAGGTGGACTAGAAATATAAATTGTGCAATGCTCACACTCATACCGTGGCACCAGGCTTCTCAGAAGCTTCTGCTAGGAGAACACAAAGCCATAGGTTAGTTATGGGATCTCATCCTTGCCTTCAGTGATAGGTCATTTAAAACATTTTATAAAAAACAAGCAGCCATAGTATTAACATAAAATGCAAAATATGCCTGCATTTAACACTCAGCTAAGTCATTCTGGTTTTTTGGGAGTCACTTTGGGCTAAGAACTTACACTGGAGGGGCCTGCTCCCTCTCCTCTCATTACAATTACCTTGGTGAAAAGGTTTGAGAGGCCCTGTCCTTGGGTCTGTCTGACCTTGGGCCTCATGTGGCTCTGGTTCAGCTGGGGATGCCTGAGATGCAAGCTCAGACTCTGGGGGAGCAGATGGGTAGATCCACTTGTAGAGTCCAAAGCCCAGACCCCCAAGTGGGACAGAAGAAACAAAGACCATGCACTCCACCCCTTGCACCCCATCACAGCTGAAAATGCCCCTGAGCTTTCAGAGGCTGTTTGGCCAGATTCTGGAGCCCAAGAGCGGAAGTGGAGTGTCAATGAAACCAGGGAGGGAAAGCCAGAGGCTGCATATGAACATCCTCCTCTAATACCTATATGGCAGGAAGAAGCCGCTGAGCGGTCCTCTCTGTCCCAGAGTGCTGGGGCAGTCCTGTTCCAAAGCAGTACTTTGGGAGATTAAGTCCATCTGGGTCCAATCAACCCCCAAATCAGCCTTCCCCTTGTTGGCAGCATCAAGAATGGCAGGGCAAAAGCTAAATGAGAAACTGCGGCGGCAAGTTTGCAGCCAACTCGGAAACTTTTCAAGAAACATCCTCGTTGCTAATAACATGCTGGGGGCTGGCTGGGATTCTAGGATTAGTGCTCAGGAGATAGAAACGGGTAACAACGGGGGAGGTGTGATCTTTCCCAAGTGCCACACCAGGTATTAAAATAAACAGGCTCTTGCCTCCTGGAGCTGGGGGTGGCAGGGAAAAGATATCTGGGTCCAGGCAAAATCAGAAAAAGCATCAATGCATGAGGTGGGAGTAGGAGGGCTCAAACCTGGGAGTCCTCAACTGTTTTCAGGGTTCAGAAACAACGTACCGGAGATCTCAGTATTTCCTAGTTGCCATTCTGGGGGCTGCGAAGGACGGTGCCATGGAAGGTGAAAGTCTGGGGCCAGTGTGGCCTGCTCTTAGTTCTACATCCTGGTAACTTGGGGGCTTAGCAGGGCCGGCCACTGGCCTGGAGTCTGAGTGCAGAGGGATGGGGAGGGCCTATTACAGAACTTTCAGTTGAACTCAAAGGGAAAGCTGTATTGTCTGGGGGTAAGGACACACACAGGAAGTCAAAAGATGTGGGTGGGTCTGCCACACCTCCCCTGAAAAGTGGAGATAATGCTGGATTCATGGGGTAGGCAGGTGTCGTGTGCATGAAAAGTGCTTTACCATTTTTTTTTTTAGTATGATTCCAGGCAACTTGCATTTTATCTGGCAACTTTGTGGGTTTTTGTTGTTGTTGTTATTTTTAAAAACTGAAGTATAGTTGACATACAATATATTCCTTTCAGGTGCACAACACAGTGATTCGACAATTACACACATTATGAAATCTTCACCACAGTATGTGTAGTTACCATCTGTCACCACGCAAAACTTTCACATCACTGACAGTATTCCCTATGCTGTTCACCCTGTGACTTATTTTGTAACAAAGTTTGCACCTCTTAATCCCCTTCTCCTATTTCTGCTGATACCCCCCACTGTCCAAGTGCTTTAGCATTTTTTCACCTGTTACAGGAACACCAGCATTCCTTTAAGTAGGCACACAGGTGTGTCTTTCTTAGGCAGTTGATTTTCAACCCCAGCTGCAGTGGAAACGCCGGGAGTTTTTTTTAAAATGCAGATTTCCCCCAGGCCCCACCCCAGCCTGGCTGAGCAGAAATCATCAGTTTAAAAAAAAAAAAAAAAAAAGAAATCATCAGTTTTTGAAACCTGAGATGTGGTATTAACGTGCACCCAGGGTGAGAGCCTGGGCGGGGTGGGGCGCGCGACTGGCCAACTGTCAGTGGAGCATGCCATTCTTGATCTCAGGGTTGTCGGTTCGAGCCCCACGTTGGGTGGAAATTAAAATCTTAAAAAAAAAAAAAGTTGAGAGCCTCTGCCCTGAGAGTTTGCCCAACCTGAAATTCTTCTTAGTTGGTGAATCCAGACGGATCTCAGGAAGGCCCATCTCTCTTCATTTCTTTGACCTTGAACCTCAACAAAGACCACCCTGGCCCCACTACTTCCCGTGTCATTCCTGTCTCAGCTTGAGCTAACTGCAAACCAGAAACATGGTGACAAGCAAAAAGTTGCTGGCTGCCAAAGACAGTTCGTTCATGGAGTTTGGACACCCAAGTAAAAAAACAGCTACTGCTGAGCACTGCGCAAAGCAGCTTACACACATTCACTCTAGAGGTGACAGGTTGGGGACGAATATCTATGGGTATCTTGGTGTTGGATCCCTTAGCCTCCTTACCCCGCTCCAGGTTGTGAGACTTCGGAGGCCCTCGCTCATCAGAATCTAGGGTGGGGCCTCTAGCTTGACAACACCTGGGTCCTGGGCTCCTGCGATGCAGGTGACTAGACTTGAACTCCTAGGGAAGCTTGCTTTCAAGCCTTAATTCTATTCACTTGGGAACACACGAGCCCCGAGTTCAGGTCCCAGCGGCTTTTTATACATTTCGAGATGAATCGTCCTGGGTAACAGGAAACTGGTGAGTAGCTCTGCTGGGCTGCTTCTGCCGCTGGGACCCTGGGCCAGGGGCCCTAGCAGGGAATCTGCCAGGGAACAGACTGGCTCCTGTGAGCACTTCCGGCCTGTGGTGCTGATATGGGGCTTGGTTAACAGAAGCCTCCGCAAAAGGTATAGGATTCTTCCTCAGGTCAATCTTAATTTCATCTGGCTAAATCCCT